GTCGGTCCTCTTGCTGTTGTGGCTCGGAGCGCCACCTTGCAGTCGGACTTTCGGCTCCCCACTTGTAATACTTGGAAAGCGCCCAGCTCGGTGCCTGGCCCCAAGCGGTCGCTAAATGACGGGCCGTGTTAATGGTACAACCTGGGGCAGGTGCTCTGAAAGCAACAGAAACTTGGGGAACACTTACGAGGGAACCAGGGATGGAAGAGCATTCCCCTTCATATTCCTTGCCTCACCTCTTTCTGATAAGGATTTGAAGCCCAAAAGGCACCAGATACAATCAATTATTGAAACAAAGGGGAAAAAGAAACCAAGACCTGGTAAATGAAGGAGTGGGAGAGAGTGACAGAATTCCAGAGCCCAATAAGGTGTATAGCTTTGAAGGGTTTCTGACAAGGCCTCGGGCTGAGAGAGGTTTACCATCTTGGGAGCGAATAGTTTTAGAGAAGGGCTTCACACTGATTGAAGTGCATAGCTACTTGAGTCCAGCAAGAATAACTTAAATGGGAATTAAATGCTATAGCTTTATCTTTGACCTTAAAGACAGTAAAATTACAGTGAAGCATTCATAGAGTCAGCTCCATACAATAAATCTTCTCTGATATGCCAGAATTTACAAAATAATTGAGTCACCAACCCTGGTTTTCAGAGTATTGTCTTGTCGGGAGGGACAGTGAACAAAACCATAAACAAATGGTTTTCAAGTTTCATGGATAACATGCAGGCTTGGATGCAGGTCCCACCCCTAAGTTGTACCTTGAAAGATGTGTAACAAGGGTTTGGAGGTGAGAAACAGTGCAGGCCAAGCAGGAGCCTGAGGCAGCATAGGGGTAAAGCTCAGGGTCACAGTGGGAGAGATAATGCTGGAGGGGCCAGCCCTCACAGCAAGCCGATGACATCATTCTCACCAGAGTGGTGATAAGAGATTTAAGGTGGAGAGACCAGCTAGAAGGCTATTGCCTTATGGTCCTGGCAAAGGTCAGGCCTAAATCCCTCCTTAGGCGCTTCAACCATCCATTCACATTCAATCCACATTCCTGAGTCCCTTGGGAAAGCAGGACCCCATGTAGGCAGAAGGAATAAGTGTAGAAACAGTTGGGACAGGTTGCCAAGGGAAGGAACTCCAAGCTCTAGCTTTTCATTAGAATCCTCAGCAGTGGTCTGGTCCAAACACAGCAGGCAGAGTTTCCATTGGAAACTAAGTGAGACTGAAAAAAAAATCACAATTTGATATTTCACTGGTGCACCGAAGACAAGGGTGATCAAACCTTTAACTGTGCTGTGAAACACAGTGCCCATACAATGTTTGTCCTCTGATACGTGAAAGCATAATATAGTATTTAGATGGGGGAGGGAGATCCCATTCATTCAATTTCTAGTGGCAGACACTGCATTTCCAGGTTTGCCATTCTGGGTCGGGTTTTACACAGCTAGAGAATTCTCAGCAAGACTCATGGGAGAAGCTGGAGTTTGGTAATGCCCGGGTAAGGTCTCTGAAGCCCAACCCGCCTGGCTCCCCTGCCAGACAAAGCAGTCTATGGGCAGGGAACTGCCCAGGCCAGCCCAGGCTGAGGACAGCAACATCTGGTCAGCAGAGTCTGCAGGGAAGCCCAGGCTGTCAGCCTCTTCCCAGAAGCCTGCTCATGGGAATGGAGAGCAGGACCTCCAGGATGAGCCCTCCACCCCCCAATTTGAGCAGCCTAAATACAATACATGAAACAGCAGCCCTGAAGATAGGAAACATCCCACTTCCCAGGTTCCCTAAGGTCCCCACCTCATAAACCAACCCTGCTGCCCAGCGTGGCCCAGAATGCCTTTGGAGGAGTAAAAGGAGGTAAAGCAGTCATGTTTGAAAGACAAGCTCTTTTCATTTATTTGGCATGAGGATGGAGAAGAAGACTGTGAGGTCACAGGCATGTCTGCATGTGGGGGTGCCAGAAACTCGAATCCACCAGGCCCTCACTCTGCCAGGCCTCTCTGGAAGAGAGGCATTAGCCAACGCATTGATGCCCTGGATGTCCTCCGTGCCAATCACAAAAAAGTCATGACCGTCCCCTTCTTGCCAATCTGCCAGGGCTCCAGGGGGAAAAAGCGGATAAGTATCCTTCAGGAGGCAGAGAAAAAGATGTCATCAGCTCCTTGGCTAACAACTCATACTCCAAGACTCATAACTGGGCACTCCCGCCATGGGTTCCCAGGCCAGTCTGCCTTAGCCCACCAGGTATTTTGCAAGCCTGCCTCACCCCATTAATGTTCTCCCCAGAACCCCCAACAGGGCAGTTGACATGTCAGGGGCTGGATGGTGACTGTACATCAGCGTGGCCCACCCAGGATGACACTCAACACAGCCAGGACTTCATTCAATTCTGCTAGCAGTCTGAAGGTGGACCCACCATTAAGGGGCCCGAGGGGTCAAGGGACCCCAGGACACTAGACTTTTCTTGGGCAGGTGAGGAATTTACTTTTGCCCCAACCTTAGAAGGGACCCCGAGGCAGGATCACTGCCCCCGGTCGTGCAGCAATCCCAAGGGTGTCCTCTCCCTGCCCCAACGCACCGGTCCTGGCCCAGTTCCAGCTCCTTGGTAAGGAACTCGAAGAAGCGGGCGCTGTGGCCGCGGTTCTCCTCCGCTGTGCCCACCACACCGATGGAGGAGACAAATAGCTGCGCGCAGGGCTCCGCCGAGCCGCTCACCGCCATGGCCAGACCCGGCCGCACAGTCACGTTCACGCGCTGCAGGGAACACAAAAGTTTCACCTAAAGCCGGTGCAGGCCAGGCTCGTGCTCAGGGCTGAGAAGCGTGGTATCAAAGACGCGCGGACCCCGCAGGGTCAGGGTTAGGGGCATGGACTGGGGTCCTTGGAGGTCACCTCAGAGTCAAGGCTGGGGAAGGCGATAAGGAGCAGACGGGGTTGGGGGGTAGGACCGAGAGATCAGAGAGAGCAGGAGGTTGGAGTTTGGCAAGTGGTGGGCGGGGGACCTTGGGAGGAGTCAGGGTCACGGTAGGGAAGTAGGGGTGTGGTCAAAGCCGGACCCCTGGTCCACCAACCTCCCCCAGCCTTGTGCTCCCCAGCCCACGCTCACGTCCTCGGGTTTGCCCAGGATGGCGGCGGTGACCGCGCAGAGCCTCTTCTCCAGCCCCGCGGGCACGCGGCCAGCGGGCAAGTTCGTGTCCAGCTCAACGAACGGCATGTCAGGCGGGAAGCCGTGCGAGGTGCTGCTGCAGCGGAGGAAAAACCCGCGGAGTCCGGGACGGTGTTCCCAAGACCCGGTATTAGGGGACAGGAGCGGGGCGCCGCAGAATTCGAGCTCCTCACTGGCTGTGCAGGCACACAGCACCTACCGATTGGCTGCCTGAGTTGCACCCTCCTACCTCTGCGGACAACCTTCGTGTGCTCTGGAACAGATTTCCGGAAGTCCTAATGCCCGGCCAGCCCAGTGTAACTCCACCCCTAACGAGACATTGGCTGAGCCCTGGCCCCACCAGCCCCGCCCCCATTCCACCCACACTGTCTGAGCTCTTCCATCTCCTGTGGCTTTCCAGAGTTGCAGTCTTCCGTTGCCTATCCCAAATTTAGATGGAGATCTGAAAAGAACCCCCCCACACACACACCTGTAGGGGCCCTCCCCAGGATCTACCCTAACAACATTACACCGTCAGAGAATTAAAATGTTTTTGAATACGTTGCCACTACTTCTCTAGAAGTGGTGCTGGGCAGAGATCCTCCAGTTTATTGCATCCCTTCCTTGACCCCACAGAAATCTTCCTTTGTGCCCTCTTGTGCCAGTAGCAACCTTGCCTCAGAGTGAGAAACTGTCCACCAGGGTGTGGGAGCCAGGTCCCAGTCGAATTACCAGCAATATTTATGGCACCCTATATTTTCTTAAGCAAAACAAAAGGTGTTATTTAAAATGTGGAAATCTGTTGGCATGGCTAACCATGGTATTCTTCTCATCGGTGTTTTGAAGTTGTATTGTAAATGAAAATATAATTGAAACTGTTTGGGTATATATGGACAATTTCAATTACACATCTAATATTCTACGAGGCCAGACAATTAAGTTCACAAACTCATCCTAGAAAAAGTGCTCATTGCTGACTATCACTACAGTCACCTTCTATGGTCACCTTCGAAGTACTCCCCTTGGGAAGCTATGCACCAACGCCAGCGCCTAGTCCACCCTTCAAAGCAATTTTAGAACTCTTTTTCTGGAATGGCCATCAGAGCTGTC